TTGAGTCGCACTTCAGCATACTCAGGTGGCCCGCAGAGGGCTATGAATGGGTTTGCGCCGAGTTCCAAGGTTGACAGCCCTGCACCAGTGATGAAATTTGAGATAAGGAACGCTGGAAAAGAGTTGAGTACGGCGGAAGGCCAGAAGACGAGTGTTCCACAAGCATAGACCGAGAGACCGACCATGTAGCATGCTTTGAAACCCCAAGTCTTGAAGACGATCCGTCCGAAAGTTAAAGGTCCCACAATATAGCCAACATAGTAGGCGCTATGTTGACCGACCGTCTCCCATTCGCTTGTGCGGGCTACTTCTTGAAAGCGGGAATTAAGAACGTCCAAGAAGCCATAGGCGAAACCCCAAATGAAGAACAGTATAGTCACCATTATCACAGGGTATACGCTCTCGCGGTTGCTCCGTAAGGTAATATTCTTTTTCTGTCCAGTGTTGACGAAGTCGAAGAAAGTTGGTTGGCGCTGAGTGCGGGCGGTCGTTGCGTACGTAACATTGGTGTTCGATGGCCTCAGTTGAGGTAGCTCAGTCATGTCAGGCGTAGTCAAAAAATCCATCATGCCCATAGGCTCGTCACCGCCGCTTCTGCGAGCAAGAGGAGGTTTGCTGAGCGGAGAGGCGGGAGGTGTCAGCGGATCTGACCGCCGTCGAGAGTCAAGAATGTCGGGGTGAAGTACGGCCTCATCGCTTGTATGCGTCGTGTTGTCTCGCATGGTATGATCGATAACCCAACTAGGGAGGAATCTTCTGACGAGCGGCTTCAGAGCAGGAACACATCCACACATGATGCCCAGGTTGATCTCCACAGTGCTCCACATGAAGGATAAAGATGAAAACCAGGCAAAATCGCCAGTGTTTCTCTGTTCGTTGCCAGTTTCAGAAGACTGACGTTGAGCGGCTTCGAGTGTGTCGCGTTGAGCGTTTTGCAGGTATGCGATACGGATAACATCGACGACTGCGACAAAGATACCGAAACCGAACGTGATGACCAGTATTATCTTCTGCTTTTTCGGCAACCGCATACTAGTGAGTATGGGCATGGGTAGAAATAGAATGGCTATGTCGGTGATGATGTTGAGCGGTGCCGAGGAAAGATATATCGTGACTATGTTAGTGCAGTGAGCTGTATCGGGAACTGGAGAATCCCAAGCAGCACCAATAGGGCGACATTGAAGTAGGTTTAGAATAGTCAAAGCCAATCCACCAACATTGACAACGACAAGAGTCGTGATGGTGGCCCAACGAAAAACTTTATGCGTCCTGGACAGCGTGAGGTAGAAGAGGAGAATTGAGGTTTTGGTGGCCATCAAAGCTGGGTTCTATGGGGTCTTAGTGGGGGCGACTTGTGTATAGAGCATGATATACGTACATAGAGGACCGAGAAGACGAATGACGACTGCTTCATGGGCTCCCGCCATTGTGGGGGTATGTTCTCCTGCTTTCGTCCCAAACCTTTCGTTGTGCCATAGCATATAGAGAAGGATGCGCCAAATGCGAGAACCCATGCAAGGATCATTGTGTAGTCGTCCCATCCTGGTTTTCTGACGACGAGAAATCTGGAAATTAGACGGAAGCCAACGAAGACGGAGCATATCGCAAGCGTGGCAGCCGAAACTCCCAGCACCACGGGCCCTCTCGTAGGAAAATCGCCATTTCTGATGTCATAATCCGCCATTTCGTGCGCCGCGCTATGATATGTATGCCGATGCCATAGAGGGAAGCGACCAGTGGGTACGGAAAAGTGTTCTATCGCTATCGCGGTCGCGGTCGTCTCGGGATCTGATGTTCAGGCCACGGCATTATCTGGCGCCAGCCTCGTCGAGTCTCAGTGTACAGGCGACGTGTATAGTCTGGAAAGGAAGCGAGAGACGATGTGCAGATGGGTGGTCGCGAAGGAGACGGCTGCGTTGAGTCGAACAGTGCGCAAGACCACGCGGGTTGATGCGGTGAAGGGACTACCGACCCCAGGAAAGGCGGGCAGTTGAGCTGCGGCGAGCGATGTGGAGTGTGCATCGCTAAATGCGCGACTTGTAAACGTATTAGACGGCCTTGGGCCGGCGTTTGAATCCTTGCATCGTCATTGGGAGGAGCATCTGTCCACTTTGTGGGGAGAGAAACGCCATTTCGTCACAGCGCCTGTCCCGGTCGAATCTCACCGAAATGCCGGCTCTGTCGCTGCTGACTGGGCGGCGCCGTTTAGCCTTGGCGATCGCCCCATGGCCTGACTGATGTTTGTACGCTCAAGTCCTGAAATCTCGCTGATCTTTCTTGTATGAAAAGTAGTGGATGTTGCGCCATGAGTGTGTTTGGGCGCAATAGGTGGAACATGCAACAGCGGCCACCGTCATGTCGAACGAAACTGTTTCACACAAGCTTGCGACTAGAGCATCATTCTAACAAAGTTAAGGAAACGCCAGTATGCACGTTGACTCGAGGAACCAGCCGTGACCTGCTTCCCCAGACGCCTTGTACGTACACAGTAAACCCTGTCAGGAGAAGGTGCGCAGCCTTCGAGCGATCACTGCACCTAACAACTTCATTCCACATTGCGGGGAAGTCCCTTCCACAGATCAGGATCTCAGCCGGCCTCTAATCGGCCTGGAACCGGCGAGCGCTGAACCGTTCGTACGGATATGGGGAAGTCATGTGCACAGACCCACATAGACGCAGTAGAGCCTCATCATTGGGCTTCGATCACTCTCGCTTGGCCTTGTCAATGGGTTTCGAAAAGCGAAGATAATAAGCCGAAGACTGTTGCACTTCACCTTCGCCAGACTGTCCAACTAGGTACGCGTGTAGCCAGCGGCACAACACGAGGTGGCACCGGTCTTCGCCCCGTGTCGTTGCATTGAAAGCGACCCTCCAGTAGCCGAAGGAGCTAAACCAGAATACAGGCTATTGAACGATGATCAACGTCTAAAATAGTAGATCATGTTCACGTAAGGCACGATCAACGGCATGCGCAGTTTTTTTCTTCGAGGTATCCTTTGGACCAGCCACCCCTCACTCACGCCACGGAGCCGTCAATGTCGTTTCAATGTAGATCGCTAGAGTTATGCGACCAAGAGTAAACAGTAAATGTAAACAACGATACTTCGATGGTTGTCACTTCTCTCGTGCCTGTTGCCTATTGCCTCGGTACACGGGTACCCTGGAATCTACCACACGTGACCTGATCACCTGGATAAGCCAAGTTTTTCAAGCGTAGAGGCGTAGAGGCAGCCATGTCTAGCTTACAAGCACGAAGTGTCCTTGCATATCAAGTTCATCACGTTCTTCGATCGATTGACATTTCCTAGGTATTAATGAGGCTAGTAAGCGGAGTGGACGACCTGGTCTTTGATCATACCAAGGTATTCATGAGTACACAACTATGGCTATTCCCATCTACGGCATGTATTGTCACACTCAAGCAGTAATCATGTTGCAAAACCCCCACAACAAAGGAAAGTGAATAACTCGGATTAGGTGATTGTAGCAGTCTGAACACGGTAAGCGCGCTTCGGTGCACCGTCGGCCCGCGCTGTCTTAGCGCAGAATTCTCACTTTTCTTCCTCGCGAACTTTTAATGTGAGCATTCCACACCAAACAACACCCTTCGCTCTCAGCAAAACCACGCGCATGTTGTCACAACACGTAGCTTTATGTCGGCTACCATGCATCGCGTCGCTTTTCCGTCTATGGGGAAGGAGTATAGATTAGAACATGGCTCTTTCGAAGACTCGGTGATTCGCTACTCTCCACGATCACGAGTTCAATTTGTAGCCTAGAAGAAGCCAAAGGATCTGCCAAGATCATCCCACTCGTGTTGCAGTGTCTGAGCGAAAGCCACGACGACTTTGCGTCTTTTGTTGGGAGACATACCCGTTCCACATCAACCGGTGTGTGACGCGAATCAGTGCGAATGCGTATTTGATTGATGATTGATAATTGATGTTGTACATATGTGTCCTGAAGCAAAGGACGTACCCACGCGATTCCCTCACAATTCTTTCTTCTCTGTAGGTTTCTGGTTTGCACTAAATGCCATGGCCTCCTGCTTCTCGCGTTGCTTCTCTGCAGCCACAGGGGTCGGTTTGTTCATGACAAGTACCCAGAGCGCCGCTACTGCCTCTGCTGCCAGTGCTATCATACTGGCACATGCAATACCCCAAATGTTTATGCTCACGCTTCCAAGTGGTGCGCGCGGGAAACTCAGTATCCACTCAACATAGTATGGCACCCAACCAGCGGGAATCCAGAACATGGGCGACTTGGAGAACCAGAACTGGAGGACGAAGCGAAGGCCTTGGGTGCCGAGCCAGCGGAGGGTCGAGACGGCGGATGTAAAGGTGGACTGATGTGAGCGCAAGGAGCCATCTAGACAAAAAGGCGTTAGCGATTATAGCTTGCAAAGATGTCCAAAGCATCTGTCAGAAGAGATACACACCCAGCTTTTGGAACTCAGCCATAGCCTTGTTGTGTTGCCTGTCCAGTTTCGCCCATTTTGAGAAATTGTCCTGAGGCGACGTGTTGCCCAGCTCGCGCTTCAAACGAACAATGTCTGCCTTGAGAACCTGGCATCTCTGCGCAGATCCAGAGGTAGGCGTCGGTAGCTTATTGTAGAGAATCCATAACTGCAATGTGTCAATCCGACGTCCTTGCGCATCTGCAACTTGATGCGGGGCTTACCAGTTCATTAACCGTGGTTGCGCCCACCGTGTTGATGATGTGGAGCAGTAGCTGCAGGGTGAAGACTACCAGTAGAAGGGACGGCATGTTCGGGGACGTTGGACCAGTGTCGCGATGCAGCGTGTTCTCATTGCATCGTGTTTTCAGACGGGGTGGAAGCGTCCTTGGGCTATGTCATAAGGCAATTTGGCAGCTGCAGCAAGCTAAGGCGGGGGCCGTGCGCGAAGGCTTCTATCTATTCGCTACACTGTTGCTCCTTCACACACGTCTACCAGCCTTCACTCTGTACCCGTACCATCAAAGCGCCCGGGTTGTCCGCCATGGCAATCAAAGATGGTCAGAGTAACGAGTTTCAGAAGCTGGCTTACAAGTCTTTGAGCAACTACTTCCAGGAGCACGCGGATGAAGTTATTGAGATTGAGATTCTGCCTCCTGCTATACAGCCGCCGGATGGTATTACCATGCAAGACGGATCGAGCCTAGGAATCCCGAAAAAGGTACTCGCCTTGGCTTATGTGGAAGCTCGGCACCTGTTCTTCATGAAGGACCGGGGGACTCAGGACCTACTGGCTAGTTCATGGGCATTGCAAGCGACAAAGATCATACTTCTGTTCGATCCTGAGCATCTTACTGCAGCAAATTACCGGAAGCGCACACTGTCGCTGCTAAGAAATGAGCACGGCCCTCATGTTGGGACCCCATATCACAGAGCACTACGTCAAGAGCTTTGCTTTCTAAACAGTATCCTCACATCTCCACTTCATCGTCAGTCTAAGTCGCCTACGTTATGGTATCACCGCTCGAATATCGTGGAATCTTTGAGACTCATCGAACTGAACGATGCGCCGCAAGACCGCATAGCAGAATTTTGGCACAGTGAACTCGCTGCTGTTTGCAAGTCTGGAGAGCAGCATCCTAAGAATTACCACGCTTGGCAGTATGCTCGTAAGCTTGTACACAAGATCGAGAGCCATGGATTGGCCGATGATGTCGCTCGTCGTGTTAAGGACTGGTGTTGCAGACACCCAAGCGATATTTCTGGTTGGTCTTTCATGCTGTGTTTGATGCCTATCACAGCTGCGTCGTTACAGCAAGAGCTAGTGGGAGATGTCATCAACTACGCGATCAGTCTCGACTGTACACAAGAGTCACTTTGGATATTCATACGTACAAGTCTAGCGCTAAGCAGCACTACGTTTTTAACGTCCTACCAATCGCTACAAGCTTATAAAAAGGATCTGGAGGAAACCGATAGGCACCCAGTGGCAATGGAACGCGTGTGCAATGCTATAACCTGGATTGACACCCATCGACAGTCAGGCACGTGAACAAGATACTTCATCGTTGAGCAGTAATCTCATCCTCTATACTGAAGCTATAGCCACAGCCACCACCCCTTTTGTGTTTGCCCAAAATTGGGCCATCGGACGCCTAACGACAATTCGCTTGGTCATGGTCCTCCGCTCAAATGCCGCACTGATGCGCTTCAACACACGATCAATTGGCTGCCATACATCCCATGGAATGGAGTTGCGGGCCGCGGATGATGCTATAATACTCGAAGATGCTTGTCGAGGTAGGCTACATGTATTCTGCTCAATGGCACCAGGTGCTCCGAAACCAGATTGAGGAGAGCTAGTCGTCTGGGAACATTCATCCAATACTCTGAAGGCTGTATCCGGGACCAAGTACCTCCTGGCTTCGACTTCCTGTGTGACATGTGTCGAAAAAAGCGTAGCGTCAGACCCTCGTCGATACAACGTAGGCTTCGGTCGTTCCAGCCCAGGCTCGACTTGAATCCCTATTGAGCTCGCAGAAACATGCCTTAGGAGTAGCACACCTCCTCTTTGCTTGTCGAAAACACGATTCTTATCCGACGATCGCGCTCTAAACAACCGACCGAAGTAAATGTGTCGCGTATCTGGGGTTGCCAGGTTTTTGTATACCATGTAGCTGTCTTCAAATGGACCCCAGACCACAACGATAGAGTCCTCGTTATATTGTTCAGAAACGCCTTTTCCACTGTCTTGGTCCACCGATCGTCTAGATAGTCCTTCCTTTGCTGGCAGCCAGAATACGAAACCGTGGTCATATTTCGCATTTTCCAGTTCTGTTCGAACATATTGCAATATTGGTTGCACATTTGATTTCCACTCGAACTCGCGGTCGATACTGGAGAGAAAAGGCTCATGAAAAACAAGCATGATAAGAATATGATGTTACGATACCTGCATCGATACTAGTTGCATCTCTACTTATAAGGTCTTACGGGACGCAGGTATTAGCCAAGCTAAACCGCCATCCACCCCACAACGTCACTCATGCCGATCCCACATTCAATGGGTCGGACCGGTCGTATAGACTTGCTTCGACTGTTCAGCCTCGACGGACGTGGTGCGCCGCAGACTTGACACGTAAATGCTCGCGTCACCCGCTCAGCCAATGATAATTATAGAGCCAGATGTGGCGGTGCTGAGAGTGGCGGAGTTTACCAACAAGCAATACGATTGGTCGGTCCAGAACTTTGGTCAGGATAATATCAGAAGAATCGCTGTAACTCATCTTGCAAGCACATCCGAAGGATCCAACAAAGTAAAAAGCTAGCGATACTACTAAGAGGGTGACGCTCGAGGCTTTTGGTGGTAAATGGAACGGAACCAAATTGCGAACCCAAGTGCTTTGCAACATCTGATCCAAGTGCGTATCGAGGTATTTTAGCTGTTATAAAAGTATAGAATCTCTGGGTACGGGGCTAACTGCTAATCGAAGTAAACAGAACGAGGACACTACCTAAGTAGGTATTATGGCTTTCCACCGAACCAGATTCTAACTTTCCCGAGCCGTCTTCCATTCCTAGCGTCTACCAAGTCGCATCCTTTTACCCTCCATAGACTTTGTCGAGAGGAAGTGATTGGTGTAGACATCTTTTTGGGGTTCAAGAGCTTCGTCGTCTGCACGATCTGCTCTCTTAATATGTCCGTTAGTGGAGGACTTTACATGTTTGGCGGCCTCAGGGCTACCAACTTCACTTTCGCCTCTCAATTCCCTTAGGTAGCTTGGTAAGAACCAGCAAACCTGCTGCAGTCATCAGCTGTACACATACCGCTGAACTTCCATAGCACAATATACTTGCTTATCTACTGGTTAATCCTTCGGATACCATTTGTCATGTGGTAACACCCAACTTTTCAACAGGGCTCAAGACGTGGCAGATTCTGGGGGTAAGATAACATGGTACACAAGAAGCTTGAAGTATATAATGGAGGATCTGTTGCTCAACGAAGATTATGAATTACTCAAAGATTATGGTTAGTAAACTCTTACTATCACTGATCGGTTCTGGGCTCCTTGGCTTACAACGCTTTCCAGATACTGTTATTTTGTATCCGATACTCTCAGGCGAAATGATCTTTTGAAGAACCAAGGACAACTACTCATTTCATACTGTACTCACGCATATCTGGTTCAACAACTGCAGCGGAAGAGGAGGCAAGACTAGCCAAAGAGCAATTAAAATGTATTTCGTGATCTCATAAGCCCGAGCACTTCGCGCTAGACCCTTCCATTTCAGTCCCAAGAAATCGAAAATCATCCCCCTAGTACCCATGCCTAGACCCACACGATAGCCATCGGAAGTCCGGTGCAATCCGGAATCCATGTTACCCATGTCAAGACGGCCGTTCGCCAACAGGATCCGTTGCAAGATATTTACACCACGCCTAGACCTTATTGGGCCCACGCTTTGAGCCACTCGCAAGATCAGCGAGATCCTCCATGAGATCATTCCAGATCTGCTTCACCATTCCTTCTCCCTCCTGGCGGGTCGCGGTGAATTTACTGGCAACAGCCTCAGCCATACCCTGGTAGGCAGACTGGTTTGAGTCGGTCATCTCAGACATTGCGGAGGGGGAGTGGATGTGGGTGCCGTCAGCAGAGACGGTGTAGATAGTGGGTTGCATGGGGATCTAGGAATTCTCTCGTTAGTACTCTTGCGCAATGAGCAGAAAATTAAGGCTAGGGTAAGACTCACGGAATCCTCGCTCTCAGCACTCCGGCTAGCAACATTGGCCCATGGTAAGATGGGGACTCTAATTCCCAAAGGCGCACTTCGGGTCTCCGGGTTGAAGTCCGGGAAGTGCATAAAGTCCAGTGTGCTGGAATCGCCGACGGACTTCAAACTCCTCGATGTGTTGAAGCGTCGGACTTTGTTGCCGGTCTCGGTGGCTTCGGGAACTGGGATGGTTTGCTCGCCGTGAAGGCGGATAGGCCCAGCTGGGCGATTTGAAGCATACGGCTTGTCGGTTGTGAGGAGGGATGACGACGAAGTCGAACCTGTCATTGACAGCTGGCGAACTGTGAGACGAGGACCCAAAAGGCGAGGGCCGGCGAGGGCACTGATGATGCGAACGCTGGGTTTTGAGGCTGCCATTCCGAAGATGTGTGTAATGTTGAGGTTTGTGGGCACTGTTGTGAGCGGAATGCAGCTGGGCGCGAAGAAGTAGTAGGACTTGAAAGAAGCAAGACGAGCGATTAGTAGTGGCTTATAAGACGATAAGGTTTCAGTGACGCAGGTATGCGGTTCGGAAGGCGTCGGAGAATGGGAAGCGCTATCAGATGCACCGGTAGACAGGAACAGGTGTTGAGAGGACAGGAATGACAAGCTGAGCTCGCGACACAGTGAGGGGAAGCAGTCCTTTTTCTAAGCCCTCCAGCCTCACACATGGCAGCTGCGACCACGTTAGACTCCTTGGCCAGCGTTCTGGAATCTTTACGGAGAGCGGTCAGTGAGCTGTACAGCGATTCAGGACACCCTCGTGGATTGTTCACTTCATAACGACAGGCCACATCGGGGATGCAGCGTTGGACTCCGTGGTGCTCAGTGGATGGGAGCTTGCAGAGAGGGAGCTTGGGCCAGATACTATGCTCGATGTGGCACAAGGGCTGGCCCGAGCCAATGGAAGAGATCCACTCTCGCATGCCCAGCACGTCTCCCCCGCACTTTTGATCATGGTCGCAGCGTGCTCAAATGAACCGTCTCACGTCTTGAACACTCGTACAGCATCCGATTGAAGCAAAAAGAAGATGGCCACGGACAGACGACCCAGAGCATGTCTGTCGCGATGTTGCTTGACTTGCAAACAATGGCGCCAAAATGTCGGTGTAGCAGTTGTTGAGCGCACAGTTGCAGGGGGGATCACCATAGGTTTAGCGATGTCGGCTCCCTCCCGTCACCATGCACAGTACGTATTTGTGCCTGTATGATCGGCTCTCCACCCAGTGCGCACAAGCTTTCGGTGACACTTGACTGGGCAAATGAGGCGGGCGATAAGGAGATGGGAACCAGCCTATAGTAATTTACCAAGACGTCAAGATCGGGATCGTGTGATGCATATATGCCTACCTTGCCTGTAAGCATGATATAATCTGGTAGTGGTGGTGTTGCGCCTGGTAGTTCGCATCTTGGAGCTGTGGAGGGCCAGCGGCTTCAGCTCGGTGTCCTATCGACCAACCTCTGTAGCACAGACGGCCACTCTCGACCATGACTTTGAGATTCCATTCGCAAAGTCTTCCCAATAGGGTAAAGTGAGGCTGTGAGGCTGTGGAGTCCATGAATAGATGCGTCCCACCGCCCTGACTAAGACACACAACTGCCCCGCTATGAGCTGCCTTGCCTCCGTAGCGAATCCGGCTGCAATCATTGCAAACCAACATGCTCCACAGCACCGCTTGCAATCATTTGGCCTTTGTACTACGAACCATCAACAACTAGTACTACGGACCCCAAAAATTTGCCATCCAACAGCAAAATCGGCCTGATGGTCTAGTGGTATGATTGTCGCTTCGTAAGCCAGCCCACCAGCCATCTCCTCTCTGTTCCCCCATCTAACAATCCTCTCAGGGGTTTCCTACCTGGATACAGTGTATCTGTTATGTGACAGGCCCCGGGTTCGAATCCCGGTCAGGCCCATCCGATCTTTTTGTCTTTTTTTGCCTTCTTTTCGCCATTATATGCTGTTAAGGTGGTCGTCGGATCAGTTTTGGTGTTGAGGGGGGAAAAAGAATATTTTTTTGCTTCGATAAGATCGCCAGACGTCGAGTGTTAGCCGCATGCAGTAGCGAATGGTTTGCAGGAGATCGCAGCGTCGTTGTGGACATGTGGTGCGCAAGGTCTAGGGGTCACGCGAACGGTCGTAAAAAGGCAGTAGCAGTTTGTTGCGAACCTAGTCTGTGCATCCAGACCGAGCACAAGCCTCACCAAGGTCGCAAGTAACGAACCAGTCAGCAGCAGTCTGGGCATGCTTGCTTCTAGATACGTGCGGCACAGAAAGCAAAGGAAAACACATCTCCTAGCAACCAACGCCCCGGGAAGATCAAGTTCAAGCTCAAAGCTGCATTTCGTGTGGTATCTACTCTCGTCTAAACCAGGCACTAAAACGCCAAAAGGTAAAAAACCACAACAAACAGGCCTCAAAGCCCATCGTCTCCAAAGCAAAACTCCCTCGTGTTCTCCAATCCGGGGGGTATCAATGACCCTGAGGTGCGAAGCAATGAAAGTGGTATCCAAACGAATCGTGAAATGAAGTCGTGAAAGCATTCGAAAATCGTAAAGGCAGCAAGGGCCGCCAGAGCAAAGGAAGAGGACGGACAAGCAACATCACCGCCCGTCGTAGGAGTCGCTTACCCAGCCGCTGTTGTTGCCGCCAGCGTACATGGGCTGCTGACTCCCCTGCTGGTAATCGCTCTCTTCCTCAAAGTATTCGCCTCCACTAGACGCATCAAAGCTGCTGCGACCGCTAGCGTCGCCATCTTCATCGGGTGGCCCAGCCGGGAGCTGGTCCCACTGGATGCCCGCAAGTGCAGGGTACTGAGCCAGAAGTGCGGCAGGCAGGAAGGGCTGTGGAGCTTGCATGCCACCCGCCTGAGGGAACGGTTCGAAGCCAGATTGCCCGGGCATCATGCCGTTGAAGTTTTGAGCTGGCATGGGCGCGAACATGCCGTTGCCATTGTTCAGCTGCTGATTCTGGCCATCCCATTCGCCCTTCTCACGCGCCTCCTCTTCGAGCAAGGGCCGGATGCACACGCGACCTGCCTCAGATCGAAAGTGGCGTCCGAGGGCATCTGCACGAGCAAAGCGCCTGCCGCAGCCCCAGTTGTTGCCGTTCTTGAGGTTACCACGGCATACAAACTTCTTCTCGCCTGAGTGAAGGCCTTCGTGTCGCTTGCGGTCATGTTGGCGGGCAAAGGCTTTGCCACAGACACTGCAAACAAACGGACGTTCGTCTGTATGTGTTCGCAGATGCGAACGGAGGTTGTACGCCCGCGTAAAGCGCTTCGGACACAGTGTACACTGGAAGGTTGCAGGGTGCTTCTGTGTGCGCTTTGGGTTCGACCCATCGGCTGGCGCAGGTCGCGATGGATCTGCAAGATCAAGTATGTAGTCGCGGTTCGGCACGCTAGATGTAGACGAACGGCGCGAGGATTTGTTCGAGGGCGAAGGAGAACGAGACTTTGCTGCGTTGGGAGACAGTGAACGGTGCACTTCTGAGCCTGGCGTGGATGCGCGCGAGCTGGCACTACTGAAGGGATCAGATCTGGCGCGAGTTCTGTTCCGGCTGCGTGCTAGTATAGTGTTAGGAATGCTTGCACGACTTCATCGGACTGCTTACATCTGTCTGGTGGGCTCAACGCATCTACCTGATGCTCTGGCTTCGGCGGCTCAAAGCTCGCTTGTCGCGACGGCGGTGCAAAGTCAATATTGATTTCTGGCGGTGACATGGCGTCGGCCTGACCAAACTCAGGCACAGGCTGGTTCAGTGAGGGAAACGGCTCGGCTTGACCTGGGTAGCCATTCATGTCTGGAGGCGCGTATGGGTTCATGTTCTGGTTGAGGCCAAAAGTGTCAGGCTGGAATGGCGGAAGGACTTGTTGGTTCTGCGGGAGCAAACGAGGCGAGATATGCGGGCTGTTACCCGCGCTGATATGCGCATTACTGCCGTTCAGATTGAATCGGTCAAATCCTGGGACAGGGTCCTGGAACAGCTGAGGATCGTTCTGCGCATGGAGGAGGGGTGACGGCTGATCGTTATCCAGGCTATCCTGGTGGTGCAGGTATGGGGAGTTGTGTACCGAGGACGCAGCATCGCTATTGCCCCTAGACCTAGACCTATGTTGGCCAAATCCGCCTGCCATCTGCCCCCATTCTGTAATCTGTCCATATGCTGCGCTGGGATCCAACGACGTGTGTCGCGAGTGCCCTGGTGATCTGAACGGACCCTGGTTGATGTTTGGCGACGCATGTGGACTTGGGGTTTGGTGGCTGTTCATGCTGGGCAGAAGGTGCGGAGGCGTAGGCGCGTTGTGTTGTGTGGCTGCCATTTGGTGCATAAGATCTGAGGGATTGATGGATTGGCTGTGTTGCGACTGAGCGTCGAGCATGTGTGGGTCAAGCGTATTCCCAAGATACGACGGAAGCGATTGGTTCTGGCCAAGGTCGTTGCCCTGGAAGAAGTTGTTGAAGTCGGGGTTGTTAGAGTTCGCAATATCAAGTGGGTCGGGCGAAATGTTGTTGTTGTTGCCTTGGGGGCCAAATTGCGGCGTATTATGCTGCGAGATAGACTGAGTAGCCTGGAAGAAGCTTGGGTCGGCAAAGCTGTTCTGCTGAGGGAATTGCTGTCCTTGGGTCGTGGTAAGGAACTGGGTGCTGTTCAGCCCCGCGCTTGTGACTGCGTACGAGGATGGGTCTTGAATAGAATCGAAGCCCAAGCCGACGTTATGCTGGTGCTGGAAAGGCGCATGTGGGCTGGGCGAGGGAGAGTGCGCCTTATGAATGCGCTGGCCTACTGAGGGAGAGCGCCCTCGCTGTTGGATATCCATGATGTAGGTATTCGCGTGTTCCCAAGAATAGGTGGGATGTGGAGGAGTGAGCCCTGGAGGCCGCGCTTGGGCCAGCGTGGAGAGCTTCGTAAACACCAAGAATCAAGGGCGAGCTGTGAATGGTCCGATGCCCTCCAGGAACACGCAATGTCCTCTGTTTACTGGCTTCTCTGCTGAGGCTGGTGAGTGTGAAGGAGGCGCAGTGTTGTCGTCGGTCGCAGAACACAGCCCACCTCACGAAGAGCGACGACGCTGGAAGCGGCCTAGTCCGCTATTATTAGCCCCGCAATGGGAGAGCCCGCTGCAAAGCTCCCTTGTGTATTCCTCTGTTTCAGAGTCTCGAGAGACGTGAAACGATAAGCTAGGGGATGTGTTATGCGTTGCTGTTCTGCCTGCTGCTTGTGACGTTCAGTGAAGCTTGAGGAGGTAGCTCGACGTTGGCCGTAGCAATGGCGACAAGGAAGCGCGGGTAGGAGTCCCTGAGAGATTACGCGCTGGTCGAAGTTGATGGTCGGCGCGTGATAATCGCAAAGCGACTCAGGACTGTTAGGTTCGGTGGAATCGAGCTGACCGCTACTGTCACTCGAGGTCTTGGGAATAACAGTGCAACTCGCCCCTCAGCCCCCAGCCTTATACAACAAGATCGCTCGCCTGCAAGACAAGCGCAGGTTCACGCGAGCCCGTCCATTGGTGAAGCGTCTAATAACCGGGCGGTCGAAGACACCGCTGAGGAACACCAAAATGATGCCGAGCCGTCACAAAACGTTCGATATCACCCCCTCGGCGATCAATCCCACTGCAAAACTACTGGTCCAATCTCACAGACCGCGCGATTCTTGTGCGCGGAGGCCATCCAGCGAGCCGTTGCGTCCGTGAGGTCATTACCCGGGGCCCACAGCAGCGTTCTTTGCACTGCCTCACTCGAACCAATGTCGCAAGGCACACTTCCTCAAGGCGGACTTCCATCTCCCCACATACCAAGCCCTTATTCCCATTCTCGACAATTTTGTGAGATGCATTGCTACCATCGATAATAATAGTATATTTGGTCCCAGGGAAACGTTTTCGCGGAGCCGCATACGTGCATATACATCGAGTCTAAACCTTGGCTTTCCCCTCCATGTGCTAAACAATGTGCTGTACAGAGCCCATGTGCAAAACACGCCACCAGTAACTTGGGAAAGAAATCCACAGGTCAGTGCATTTGCGACCACGTTGGTTCTGCCAGCGTCCCGTGTTCTCTATGCACCCTAGTAGCTCGCACGCGCTACGCATCTGTCACAGCAACAGAAAGTCTAGAAACATAGTCGGAGCAATGTAATGCTTCTGTTCTTACAATGGGTATCCTAAAGAATAATGTCCAAAGAAATGAATTGCCGCCTCAGGCCCGCAATTTAACCAAATTTCAGACCTTGCGCAGGATCCCATCGCCCATCCTGCGGAGGACCAGCCGAAGGTCGAGCATTGCCAGACGATGTAGGCACACCACCAAATCGAATTCCAACCTCTGGTGTCCACATACCGGACGGCGGAGGTACGTTTGCTCTGGTCGGCGTTGGAGCTGCTAATGGCTCCTCTGCATGTGCAGTGGCACCATAATTTGGGTTTTGTGCGTCTGCCTGTTTCTGCTGATGCAGCGAATTCGTCGTCGCTTGCTGAAGGCCGAGGGAGCTCATTCGTGTAGTAAGATCGCTAGCAACATTAGCATATGTTTTGGAACTGACCATGACATTCACGTACCCCTCCAGGTGTGACGCCTCTGACTTGCGGTTGTAAGCAAAAGTCCGCGCTTCATCTCTAAATCGGTTCACGATCTTAGCGAGGTCATTGTAGAACTTTCGTCCAACGTCGAGATTGGAGATGATCTCCTTGTACTTGAAATATGCATTCTCCAGGTTCTGTAACGCTTGCTCACGCTTCTTCGTTGATTGGTCGCCGCGACGAGCGATTAAGAATGCTGCGTTTGCATCTTGCAGTCGCTTGATGGCCTCTGTTTGCTCATTCTCTTCGTCTTTGATCATGTCTTGGTCGGCATCGTACATCTGGAGACGCTTGTCGAAAAGCCCTTCGAACTGCACAGCCTCGATTGTCTGCATAGGGTACTCCCGCTCTAAGCGAGCAGCTTCACGCAGCAATTCCGGATCTAGCTCACTGTTAGGATATGGCATGTGTGAAGATGCGTGACACTTACTTATGTCATCCTGCTTTGCCTTTGTTCGCAATGCCTCGATCTTTCGTCTTCGCCTGCTTTCGAGCCTACTGACCTCGTTGAAGCTACCACGAAGCTTGCCAGCTTCGCGTTCGACATCTCCAGTGATTGCGGGTCTCCTACCGCTTGGTACATAGTTTTCAAGCTCGTGATCCGGTCCGCTGAGTAGGCGTATGAAGTGCTCATTCTCCTTCAACTTTGTCTTCACAATATTATCGCTGTTGGTGGCGGCCTTGAAGTAGCCATCAATTTCGTTGATCTGGGCATAGAGCTTGGGTGCGGCTTGTTCTGCGGGGGGTCGGGTCCAACGTTCTGTGCCAAACTTGCGTCGTGCGCCTTCGTCCTCTGCAGCTTCCGACCTGAGTATGTCGACGCCTTCTTGATAGATAGCCTGATCCGTGTACATGAGCTTCTTCGTATCCTCCATCGAGCGTAAGAGACGATTGATGCCATCTTGCTGGCGAATTTCTTCGGCGTGTGCTACAAGACCTGGCGGTAGTCCTAGTGGCTTCTCAAGAGCCTGCAAGGAGCCAGGTAGATTCAGGCTGCGGAGTACCTCATGGATCTTGTTGGTCAATGCCTCTAGCTCTTCAACAATGGTACCATTGACCAATCGATCACGGCGGTCCACATAGATACTAGCTGCCAGGTGCACGGAATAAGGTACCAACTTGGAGAAAAGCGCTGGGCCAAGCTCACCGCGCTCTCCTAACATGGAGTTGGACTCAGCTATCTCCTTTGGAACTCTTGACACAACCATGTTGGCTCGATCGAGGATTTTGAGCTCTGCTTTTGGCGGTACGGGTAGCAGGTAGATCATATCGTTGTCCTTCTCGGCCCGCTTCAGGTCTTCCGTGATGCGGTTCTTCAAGCCGTTCAGGTCTGCAAGTACGACCTTGTTGATGTAGCGCTGCTCCTTGAGGGCCTCGTTCACGCAAGTCAGACTATCACGTAGTCATGCCACTTCCTCGCCGTACTTGCGCTTTTCGAGGGAATCGCAGGCTGCACGGTATTGAGCAGCAGCAGCAAAGTGGTGGTGCTTTGCCGTCATGTGGTGTATCCACTCGCTGCTTATAGCGTCCGATTGTATCCCAGCGTCTCCCGCCTCGTTGTAAAGATCAGATACACGAGCGGCTAGTTTGGCGATAGTCGCGTCTTTCATTCCATCCTTGACGGCCTTCTGCCAGAAACATTCTTGCCCTTGTGCCAACATCAGCTTTTCCAAACACTCGAGTGTCATCAAATCCATATCCTCTGGCGGCTCTGTCCGTATCTCGGGCAAGATGGTATTCCTCAAATGCGACAAGACTCCAGCGGCGAGGCAGAAGTTGTTGGCTGCCATCTTCAGTCCGTCGGGCGTGCTTCGGTTCGACGACATGGCTAGCTGCGAGTACATGGCCGCGAGGTTGAACATGATGTTGGCGAGTTCGAAGCGGAGGTTGTTGCGCGATGTCGGCCGGCTCGTATTGTATCCCAGCGCAGGATACCATGGGAACTCTACGCCAATGTCGATGGGAAACTTCCCACTCAGCCATATCAGCTGCGCCGCGTATTGTTGAAGCTTCGGGATGTTGCTGGGATGCGGTTCTTGGGCGTGTGTTGCAACCGAACGGAGCTTCTCGATCGTCTCCAGGTCTTTGGTGAACATATCTGGATGTTGGTCATATTTGGAGGATATGTACTGCTTGATCGCGTCGGTGAGATTTACCGAGTGTGACCGTCGGAACGGGAGGAACAGGATGTTGCTGGCCATTTTGTAAATTTTATCGTGTTCTGCCTGGCTATTTTTACTCACGAGGCCATAGGAAAGAGGTGTTCGGCGTTGTTTACACAAGTCCAGTGGGAAGACGTCACCGCCCGCAGCAAGGTCCAAGCTGTTGGGCATAGGTGAGCGATGCAGCTTGAGCCCCGCGCTAGCTAACGTGGGGCGGGCGCCTTCTCAGGGTTCATTCACCTGCAGGAACAGGGCCCAGCACATGCGACATTTCCTATACCGGCATCGATATTGTATGAATCTGATGCGTGTTCTGCCATCTTAGGCGGCGCGTTCGTCTTAGAGAACGTGCGCTGATACGACACCCGGGGCGGAGACGAGTTCGGTTTTTCCCGCCGTGGAAACCGAACCATTCGAAGCCTCGCACCAGCCAAGTATTGAACACTCAGCGCGTTGAAGTATGCGCGACTTGTAAAACCGAACGCGGCAATTTACGAGTCACAGGATCAAGGACACAGTGTCCTGACGCGATGGCATCAGCGATCAAACCAAATCGTCCGCTCCCGGACCCTCAATGAGCATGTTTCATGCCACCAAATTGTCGGCACGTCAAACGAGATGCGGTCAGTGTACATGGCTGAGGCGCGTCGGGTTCCACAACCCGGAATGTCGTGATGGAAGCTCGATATGTCAGCGGGGCGCGACCACAATCTATAACAATCTAGCCGAATTACAACACCATCTTGAAACCTGCGCTTCCGTTGTTCGTCAGGTCCATCCGCTAGTGAGTCCTATATATACCAGTCACAACTGCTCTTCACAGTTATCGACCAAATCCAACTACTACGCCACATAAAAGCCCCACGACCCGCATTACGCTTCGGACATACTGCTAGCAACATCATTCTATAACTTCGCACCACATTTACAACCTACAAAATGACGCACACCTACAAGTTCAACGTTGCCATGAGCTGTGGCGGCTGCTCCGGCGCCATCGAGCGCGTGCTCAAGAAGCTCGATGGTCAGTGTTCCTTGCATTAGCTGTGCGCTGCGATATGCAGCATGTGCCAAAACCCATGCGAAATTTGCTCTAATCATGTCGCAGGTGTTGAGTCCTACAATGTATCGCTCGAGACTCAGACCGCCGAGATTCAGGCAGCCGACTCGCTATCCTACGACACCGTCCTCGAGAAGATCAAGAAGACTGGCAAGACCATCAAGTCTGGCGAGGCTGATGGTGAGGCCAAGGACATCTAGGCAGCGCAACGTACCGATCCACGTACGACGACTTTCTGATACAATTCTTTTTGGGGGAGCGAGCGATGGACATCACGGTCGTGTTTACGAGCAAGCTCTGTGCTGCCGCCACGGCCCTCTACATCTGGAGCGATTTTATAAATACCGCGATTGAATGAAGGATACCCTTACCACATACATCTGCCTTGCTATGTGACGTGAACTGAGCTTGCTTTCTGGCTCGATTAGACCTGTTGCATCATTGTTGCAAGACTGTTTGATCTACCTAGGAGATAATACCAACCTCTCAACAGTGATGCACATGCGCCATCATAGTCCTACAGCGTCGCGGCATCTCGGTGTTCCACCAGATTGCTACTGCCACAAGCGGTGCGCAGACGTCACATGCCACGAGTTGAAGCCGGGTCGCCGCTCCCTTGTCGAGAAGCCACCGTGTCCAAGCTCACCCATCGCTATTCCATTTGCTATCTTTGTCGCAGTCAAATTTCCGGCACTGATGTAATCCCACGACATCTGACCAGCAGAGTCCAGTTCCTTAGCTCTAAGGCGCTTCGCCGAACCTCTTAGCCTCAAGCTCCCTCCAAACATCTCCGACATTTCCCTTTAACTCCGCTCACAGCCACCGTCTAATCATCTTTGAGATGATTGAATGCGTTCAAGTGCTTACCCACATCTCGGCGCACCCGTTGCTCGTGCCGTCTACCGAATGCGTTCATCCGCTGGTATGGAAGCGAGTTGCGATGCCTGGCAGCCTCTGCACGCCAGTATACGCAATGGCACAGACAACCACATTTCAAGTTGAGCAACTATCATCACCCAAAGACATGTTCAACTCATCTTGAATGAAAAGCGATGCATCGAAACCGTCATACGCCCACGTGACGCCTTGTTATACGAGAGCATGGGTGTGGTCGGGAACAGTCGGTTCGCGAGCGGCTTCTAACCGGACTAAGTCAGCAAGCCTCCAAGGGGCTGAGCTCCGGGCCTCACCAATGCAGATCGGCAGTACAGCGAAGATGTTCCAAGTAAGCGCGGGATGCGTATCCGTATGACGCTTGAGTATAGCATCCACTACCCTTGTCACTGCTACCTTGGATTCAGTCATGCAGAAGGGCCTACAGGAAAGGTCATATAAAAGCCGTCCTGAGGCCACATGGTGAGAACATCGCACACTGCCAGCTCGCCCAATCAGGAACAAATCTATCTGTTTATCTCTAATCTCCACTCATTCATACTATCTGTTATATATCCTCATGCCGTCTCCACCTAGAAGCTCAATATCGTTTCCGAGTTCGGCGGATCTGTTCTACTTCTGCACGACATCGTCGACCTCTGAAGAAGACCTCAACATCCACTACGCACCTCCGTCAAGCTCCTCGTTACGCATTGGTGTCATTGTTCTCGGTAACGATCAAGTCCAACTAGCCGATCTAGCCGCTCTCGACCTGCTCGCCATGGTCGGAAGGAACAGAATCTGCAGAACGAACGCCACAGCAGTAGCCATGGAAAACGCCGTGGACGAAGTCGACATTCGATATGTCAGTGTGACCGGAGAGGGGAGTTTTCCTGTCACGGCTGGCACGCGAATGCCGGTGACGGTGAGCTAAGCTTCGAATTGCTCCACATCGAAACACGAACAACACGACACCCATACATCCCCCGTACAGCCAACTCCTTTGGCCAAGAAGAGCCAACTTTTTGGTCGTGCTGGATTCGCCTGGTCTTGGCTGCCTTTCACAAGTAGTCATCTCTGACAGTCTGGCAGGGAGGTAAAGGTTAACACACGCCCCTATTCCTACCCATCATTCGCACTAACATCCTTTCGGGTACTGTGACTGACGTCTACCCAGAACTCATTTGCAAACGCGCCTCAATTCGACATTCTCTTCATCCCTGGATCCTTCTCGTCAAGCGAGTTGCCGGTGGAGGCGACCTCATTTCTCACCTCACAATGTCTGAATCCCAACCTCATTGCCATCATGAGCATTGCTTCAGGCATATGTCACCTCGTACAATCGGGTATCTTACGTGGAACACGAGCTGCAGCACCTAAGCCTTTGCTTCCCGTTCTCCAGCAGCAATATCCCGAAACGCTCTGGCAGCGCTCAGCCTGGGCTCGACACGAGAAAGTGTGGACAAGTAATTCGTCTGTCTCAGCGCTTGATATGGTTTCGACATGGATGCGCGAGTACTTTTGGGATAGAAGCCAGGCTGTTGAGTATGTTCTTACAGCCGCGGGCATGGGATCGCTCTACGATTATGATCATTGCGACTACTGATGATTTCATGACATGGTATGGGCATTACAAGGCGTTTTGTGTGGTACGATCTCAACTCTGTATAACAAAGTCCTTTGTTTGGCGTATATGAGGTACTTCCGGATTTTATACAGATATATGAGAAATTTTGACTTCAGATGGAACTCGTATGTTCATGGCCCAGCTCACATGTAAGCTTTCTGATAGCCATCTAGAGCCAGATTCGACTGGCCTTCCCCTTGCGCATAGCCCTCGCTACATTTGAAAAACTCAATTTTACTCCATCTTTCTCCTACACAAGATGCACATCCCTGTAGACCCCAAGTATCCCTACCCAATAGAATGCATAGCCATCGCCATCGCCCTAGCCTGGTCTTCATTCCGCCATATATTCTTCTTAGCTTTCATCTTCAGCCTAAGCTCAATAGTAGAGTCAGTACTGAAACTAGATCGAACATTGGCTTCGTACAAGTGGGGTCTAATATCGTCCTCGCTAATGCCGTTGGCTGGCGTAATGGCCACGTCGGTGATTTGATCGATGTTGAGATGTGTAGTCGACACAAGCAAGGCGTCTATGTTCGAGCCATCGATCGTGTCGTTGTCACTGTTTAAACTCATTGCCTCTGAGGTTAGGGAGAGATAATGCGATGATAGACTGCTTGCTTCTCCCATCGTAAATAGAACGTTACCCCCTCTCATATTGACGACAGGCTCGGCAATTACTTCAGTCTGTGCGTGTATTCCTTCTAGCCATTTCAGCGTCGCAGCATCTGCGTTATCGAATTCGTAGCATGTGTTCAGTCTATCGTGATATGGGGATCCGGGCGTAGGGCTTAGTGGGAGTACCTCTCCGTCGTCGCGGCGGACGAAGCATCTGCCTTCACTGTCTGGCAGATCAAACCGTGTTTGCGGCGTGCCTACTGCACCACTGGTCTAAATGCAAACGCGCGAGATTAGTATATGTCTCACATGCAGTTTATAGAGGTATGCTTACAATGGCGAAAGTATGTTCAAGTTGTTGGCTCACGGGAAGGAGAACTGTTGACGCTTTAGGTGACAACGAACGTGCACGAGGTCCGCTTCTAGCGAACCCCGGATGTTGAAGCCGTGTCGCACCTCTTGACCGAGTAGGGCGACGGTTCGTGTCTGCAGTTGGTGTAGCGGAGGATCCACCTCCGCGCAGGCCTGTAGGTGCGATGTCTCCCGGAATTGCAATTTCTTTCAACCTTCTTCCCCACCTTCCACCCCATTGCTTGTGCTTCGATTCCTTGACTTTGTTTACTCTTCTGCCTCTCGGGTGCTCCCAGCCCCTGTTATCACGCTGTGTCTGACCACCTCTGCTACTCGGTGGCTGAATGCCAGCAAAAGTCGTCTCCGAGCTGGGTACTTGAGTCGATATGAGCATCCCTTTTGCCGCTGTAGAGAACGATTTACCATTTCTGGGCCATCCAGTAGCATCTGCTCCCAATCCTGGTGGTTTCTTCTCTTGGTACTCCATCAGAGGATGCCGTTTCGAATACGTCTTGTATCTCGAGCCTGAAGGCGCAGCGAGAATCGAACGACTGATTTCCCCTGCTTTCGAAAGAACTGTCTGCAAAGGGCTCTGACCTATGACAGGAGCTGATTCAGCAACTCCTGGTGTAGATACGATAGAAGGGTAGCCGATGGTAAGGTACTGCGCGTTCCGCTGTTGGGGTACAACCTGAGCTTTAGCTGTGATATGGCCATAGCGAGGGAGATATCGCGATGGCGTAGGTGATCCAGAAGGGCGACGCTCACCCGAGACTGCCATACGCTCTAGGTCGTGCCGTCTGTCGGTTGATTCGCGTCTCATGACCGCAGTGAAGCTATCGTCCAGCACTGTTGTGCTCAGATCAGGCTCTCGCCGTCGCAGTTCCTCTTGTAGTCTTACGTTCACATCACATATACAATCTGCCTCTTCGTATCTTTGTCTCTCTTCTTGTATACGTTGAATAGCACGCTCATGCTTGACTCTTCTGTACACATCAGTTTTCTCCAAACCTAGCACGTCCATCAAGTTATCATCCAAAGTACTGGCGGATAGCAATGATGATGCTCGACAACTGTCATCGTCAGAACTTTCGAACACGTCGGCTTCGGATGAATCGGCTCGCTGGCATCTGGGTGGGTTTGGCATTGGGAGTATAGGCGGCGGAGGAGGACGTTTTCTGGCCCACCTCTTGTTGTCCCTTGGGTTTACCACATGACTTCGCAATGTAGCATCAGTACCTTGATGTTCTTTTGACTCCACGTTGTTCCATAAAGCGAATTTTCTACTCGCAACTGGATACGAAGGGCTCATGGAGTGACACGTCTCATTCTCGCCTGTCGGCGCACTTTGAATATTCGGTGGTGCCAAGGTTTTGTCGATTCGAGGTGACCGCGGTCCATCTCTTATTGGTAGAGACATTTGAGGTCCAAAATACTGATTAAAGACTGCCTCGGTACAAGCCCTACGAATAGAGCTATCGTTCGTATCTTCAGAGTCCGGAGTATCCGAGCCTTGCCTTGTGCCTATCTCTCTGAAGAGTTGGCCATCTCGCCTTGTGTCGACGGTACATGGTCTCCCTGGCGTCTCTTCTGTTATCTTGTCAATCTTGCCAGCACGAATGATCGGGAACTGCGATCGCACACTTTGCGGTGCTCGACTTTCCGGACGTTCAATATAGTGGATCGGAGAAACAACTCGAAGAATACCCTCCTTGTCGACAGATTCTTGTAAAGAAGTAGAACCAAAGGGTTGACCAATCTCATTGGTGTCAGTTGTCTTCCAGAACGATTTGAAGTCGTTCCAGCCTCCACCACGAAGATGTACGATAGGTGACGAGATATCCGGTTCAGAGTGTTCCTGACTGTCTGATACGACCCGTTTAATAGGCGATGTTGGTGGGGAATGTGTCGTCAAATAGTCCCGCTTGTTCGAAGCTATGTAATTGCCATAAGCATCTCTCCCATTGCTCAACGGAGACATTGGACATATAGGCCGAGAGAAAGGGCTGCCTGGTGGTGTGTATTCTCTATTTCCAGTCGACGGAGACATTGGTGGAAAGAGCGAGAGATTGACATGTCTCGAAGGGAAGGGGCGATCAGAATTGCTGGTGGCCTGCCTAGGGGAGCCTGGCTCATCAGAACGAGGGCTGAGAAGCCCTTGTGCGAGGCAACCCGGCGCATTTGTATCCATCTTCTCGGCACTGTAGTCGGAGGGTGGTAATGTGTTGTTGGAGCAGATGGCGTGGTTCGTGCGGGTCGCAGAAGTTGTGCCGTCGTAACTTCCTCGTAGAGAAGGCACGCATTCCCGCACCCCAATTTGCCCGAAAAGACCCTCACTTGGATCTCCCGTAGCGTTTCGACTATAATTAGTTGAAGCTGTCGAGGATATCTTTAATGGATCTGATCGTAATATCTTTGGGTAACCATCGCAGTAGCTCACTTTGGACTCAACTTCACTGGAGCACATGTCTCCCAGAGTATTACCTGTTTGCCTTCTCTCGGTCGTCGTATCGGTCTCTTTCCCACTATCCCAGCATGAAGATTCTTTCTTGCCATTCATGTTCTTGCCGTCCAGAACTGCACTGACTAAACTCTGTGTTTCCGTCAACTCATGATCAAACTCTTCGAGGAGATTCAGAGAAAATGGAAACGATGGGGCGCCCTTAGAGTTTGTGGATATAGAACGAATAGCGTGCAACCTTTTCTGATATGCTGATCCATTTCGTAGGTGGCTGCGGATGGGAATAGGTGGGGGCATTATATGTGGCTCTGCGGGAGCTGTACAATGGGCCATGACGGTGGGATGTCGACAAAAACGCCAGGATCGTCAATGCGAGTCACATAAAAAGGATATAGCCTGGCAAAGGGTGTGAAGTTTAGGACGTGAAGCATGGACAATTCAGAGAGGGATGACCTGCATGACTGTGGCAAGCACGGTTTGTGGCGTGGGCGTTTGTCAATTCAACATATGTGAATCCGGCCTCGCTGATCTGCGTGTAGACACGTCGACTCACCGTCATTGGTGGTGATCAAGACTCGAATGTATGCGGTGCTGCGTTTGCGACGTTGACCGCCATGTTGACATGCTTTGCGCAAGGGTCTGATAAAAGTATACATGTTAGGGGCGTTCTCATAGGTAGTGGTATATTTACACAGTCATATAGTTGGTTACCTCGATCAAGTGTTAAATGAGCTTGTACTTGCGAGAACCTATAGAAAATCAACCGTATTGTCCTACAAACGCCAAAGCTTTAATGCTGACAATGCCCGAAGATGCTGTCGTGTATGTACAGACGTATAAACAAGCAGAACAGGAGTGCTCACTAGGATATCTCCACTCCTAACCCACGACTAAACGCCACGTAATATGCCCATCGGTTCATGTGAAGTGGAAGCCGAGACCCAGCTGTCCGCCATCACTCGACTTCATGTTCTAGTTTCTTACCCTCGTTCTTGAGTTTCTGGTGTACGGCCTTGAGCGACTCGAATGTTAACATGGTCGTGACCGCCGCAGGTACAGCGCGGACCATGTTAGTGCCCATTCCGTTGTAAAAGGCTCTCCATCCCTCTTCTTGGAGGATGACGGTGCATGTTCGCAAGATACCGCGATACCTCGGTAAGTTTATCATACCATCCGACGAAGCTGTGCCTGGTGGGCGAGTGTGAAATCGGTCGTGTTGGCCTCCCCGGAACGATACATGGTTGTCCGAGTGCGAGGGTAGCGACCGTTGCTGTGTCTGCAGCCGAGTGCGTAAGACCTCGTGTGGGTACGTCGCAGAAGTCGCAGTCATTTTGCTCAAGACTGTTGCCAATGCAATAGCAAACCAGTGCACGTCTTCTGTCTTGGCGTCTGTCTGGCCCATCTCCAGACCGGTAAACTTCATCTTGAGAAACTCATATAGCGGGAATTGAATAGCGACGTGGGTGAGGCCAAGCAGTGCAGGTGTAAGGCCTGAGTAGAAGGACATGATGCCTTCCTTGAGGTACATCTTGCGAAAGGCATCAAAGGT